CTCCTCCCTCCCTCCCTCCCTCCCCCTCCCCTCCCCTCTTCTCCCCCTCCCTCCTTGTCCCTCCCTCCCTCCTCCCTCCTCCTCCTCCTCATCCTCCTCCTCCTCCTCCTCCATCCTCCTCCTCCCTCTCCTCCTCCCTCCTCCTCCTCCTCCTCCTCCTCCTCTCCTCCCTCCTCCTCCTCCTCCTCCTCCTCCTCCTCCTCCTCCTCCTCCTCCTCCTCCTCCTCCTCCTCCTCCTCCTCCTCCTCCCTCCCCCTCCTCCTCCTCTGGAGCCACTGGAGCCACTGGGGCCTCTGAAAGGTCAACCCCAAAGCGAGCAAGAGAGCCTGCCTACAAATGGGAAGAAAGGGACCTGGGGGGGAGATCCGTGGGCAGGGAATGGGCGCCCAACGAACTGCTTCGTCGTCGGGTTCTTCACCATTTTGAGCTGCTTGAGAGCCTTTCTCCCCCACTCCCAGGTCCTGACAGTGGGTAGCGGGCGGCCAGCCTTTTGGCCTGGCCCGTGGCGTACGCCCCGCGCAGGTTGCAGTAGTGCGTGTCCCCCGTCGCCAGCAGCCTGTGGGATTCGCGAGACCTAGAAACTACATCGGGGACCCCATGACAAAGGGAGGCGGCCAACTCGTTCCCGACGGGGAGAGGTAACTCTACACGTTCAGCAACCCCAGAGCCCCCCTTCGTCATGGACAAGGTGGCCTTTGTCACCGCTCATTGGCCTGATGGTACGCACCGATTCGCCCCCAAGCTGTCTTGGGGGCACGACTTTTGGAATCCGAATTCTAGACACATCTGGAACTCTACTCGGCTCAGCTGATACAGTGTGCTCCCGAGCATCCCGGCGAACTGCTTGGCATACTTTTCGGCACTCTTCAAGCGTTCCTGAAGGTGAGGGGTCCTGGGATGCTGGATGGCTCCTAACTTGGCATACTTGTCAGCCAGAGCGTTGCCAGGGAACCATCGTGCAGGATACCTTTGGTTTTCGAGCCACGTCCGAATCTTGTGCGACGGCATCCACACAACATGGACGTTTTGTCTCCCTATGTCCTCGAGCTTCCAGAACATCAACTTCCAAACTTCAAAATATGATTGGGTAGGTTCGCACATCATGTCAGGCCCTTTGTCCAGACCATTTGACGAGGTTGGCATGATCAGTAATAATAGTGAACCCCGCGCTCATGAGGCATAAGCACATGTACAGAGCATAGTGTTCGGCCAACCCTGCAGGCTGGACGGGTCCAGGAACAGGCCCATATGCAACCGACGAAACTTCCTCATCGGGCACAGGAGCAAGGGACATTGCGGAACATCCTGATCGAGTACGCCACTCAACCGTCGAGTCGAGACCAGAACCATCGATGAAGATTTCGCTCCCGAGGTGTCCAGCGGGTCCAACACTCCAACCATATCCACTTCCGGGCCCTCAAGAGGAGGTGGACATTCATCTCTTCTGCTAGAAGTCACCCCATACTCCACGAGCGGACACTCCAGCGCCGTGGACCGCCGTGGTAGATAAGAGTGCAATTCTCCAAAATCTTGATTTCGCCGCCATGCAGCAATTCCGTCACAAACATTATCCTCCTCCTCCTCCTCCTCCTCCTCCTCATCCTCTCTCCTCTTCTCCTCCCTCCTCTTCCCCCTCCTCCTCCTCCTCCTCCTCCTCCTCCTCCACCTCCTCCTCCTCCTCCTCTCTCCTCTTCTCCTCCCTCCTCCTCCCCCTCCTCTTCCTCCTTCTTCTCCCTCTTCCTCCTCCTCCTCCTCCTCCTTCTCCTCTCCTGCCTTCCCCCCCCCTCCTCCCCTCCTCCTCTCCTCCTGCTCCTCCTGCTCCAGCCTCCTCCTCCCTCCTCTCCTCCTCCTCCTCCTCTTCCTCCTCTCCTCCTCCTCCTCCTCCTCCTCCTCCTCCTCCTCCTCTTCTCCTCCTCTCTCCTCCTCTCTCCTCTTCTCCTCCCTCCTCCTCCCCCTCCTCTTCCTCCTTCTGCTCCTCTCCTCCTCCGCTCCTCCTCCTCTGCCCCCCCGTCCTCCTCCTCCTCCTCCTCCTCCTCCTCCTCCTCCTCCTCCTCTTCCTCCTCCTCCTCCTCCTCCTCCTGCTCCTGCCTCCTGCCTGCGGGGTGTACGCCTCCCGACAGATCGGGAAGTTAGCCGTCGCATGTGACACACCCACCGCCACAGGGCGGGAGTATTTACGTCGTATTGCAATGGGGCCCTGGCCCAAAGCGCTCAGCAAAGCTGAGACCATCCAGATAATGGGGAAGCAATAGGCACCTCAGTAGGTGCCAGCGGACCTCCAGGTGCCGAGCACAGGTGCCGAGCCCGCCGGGCCGAGCACAGGTGCCGAGCACGGGCCCCTCCCCCTCCCCCCTCGCGCACCTAATTGCCCTCCCCCCTCCCTCTCCCTCCGCGCGGGCGTGCCGAGCACAGGTGCCGAGCCTCCGGGCCGAGCACAGGTGCCGAGCACCACCGCTGGCCGCAGGGGCCGAGCACAGGTGCCGAGCCCGCCGGGCCGAGCACAGGTGCCGAGCACGGGCCCCTCCCCCTCCCCTCCCCCTCCTTTGTCCGTCCCCGTCGCCCGTAGCCGTTCTGGTTCGAGCAGGGGTTTAGCTCAACCAGGACACCCTCACGACACCCTCACTCCGTTCGCCGCCACTCGCGATGCCGGAGCCGCAGCCGCGACGCAGCCGCGACAGGCGCAGCCGACCCAGAGCCCCGGCGCGCGAGCGGTCCCGGAGCCGCAGCCGCGACCGGCGGGGCCGCCGTGACAGCGGCCGCAGCCGCGAGCGCTCCGGCCCGCACTCTGGCCGCGGTGATGGCGCCCCTCGCGCCCCTCCCGCACCCGCCGCTGCTGCCGCAGGGCGCGGCCCGACTAAAAAACCGATGAAGGGCTCAGCAGAGCCGGCCGCCGGCCCGAGGAAACCGACGACTGGCTCAGTAGAGCCGGCCGCCGACGCAGCCGCCGGACCTTCTGGCGAACAACAGCTTCTCCAGCGGCAGACGCAGGCCTGGCTCCAGTACCAGGCGCTCCACCAAGCGGCGCTCGCAGCGGCGCTGGCGGCACCCCCACGCGGGCTCGACTGGACGACGCCGGGCTTCCAGACGCCGCCGCCGCTGGCGGCCGGAACGAAAGGGGGCGCCGCCGCTGCTTGGCCAACGGCGCCCTCGCAGGGCGACGGGGCTGGCACCGCCGCCGCTGCTTGGCCCGCCTCGGCTACCGCCGCCGGCTGGCTACCGACGGCTCCGACAGCGCCAGCGCCCTCGGCAGGGCTTGCTACAGGGGCTCCGCCTGGGAAGCCCGGCGCCGCCGCCGGACCGGAGCACTGGGCGGCCACGGCGGCAGCGGCCGCCGCCACCGCCGCCTGGCCCGGCACGGCGCACGCAGCACCAGGCGCGCTCTCGACAGGGCCAGCGACGGGGGCGCACGCGGCCGCGAAGCCCGGCGCCGCCGCCGCCGCCGCCTGGCCCACAGCCGCGCCCCTGCCGGGGGTGGTGGTGGGCACGGCTGCCGCCACCGCCTGGCCGGGCACGCTGCCCGCGCCTTGGACTGGGCTTGCCGCTGGCGCGCCCCCACCCACGCCCGGCGCCTGGACGGGCAGCACGGCGCCCGCAGCAGCAGAAGCGCCCTGTGCAGGGCTTGCTGCGGAGGCGCACGCGGCCGCGCCCGGCGCCGCCGCAGCCACTGGGCCACCGCCCCCGCCGGGAGGGGCGGCCACGGCTGCCGTCACCGCCTGGCCTGGCACGGCGCCCTCGCCCTGGGCAGGGCTCGCGGCCAGGGCGCCTCCGACGGCCGGCGCCGCCGCCAAGCCGCCGACCGCGCCCGCCGCGGGGTCGCTGCTCTCGCTGGGGAAGGGGGCCGCCGACGCCGCCGCTTGGCCGCCCGCGGCAACCGCCGCCTGGCCGGCCGCGGCGCTTCTGGAAGCAGCGCCCTTGGCAGGGCTGGCTGAGGGGCTGCCCCCGACGCGCGCCGCGGCGGCCGCCCCGCGGGCGGAGGGCGGGCCGGCCTGGGCCAGCGCGACGGCAGGTGCCGCACTCCCAGCGCCGCCGCAGGGGCCACTCGGGGCGAAGCAGGACGGGCTGCCGCAGGCGCTGGGCTTCGCCGGGCACTCCCGCGCGCCGGAGCAGCAGCCGCGCCCGACCTTGCAGACGGCTCCGGAGGCGCTCGGGGCAGGACCGGGAGGGCTGGGGGCCGCCGCCTGGAAGGGCAACCCGGCTGCCCCTTTCCCGGCGGCGGCGCCGAAGGCCACTGGACCGCCCCCGGGGGGGCCCGCCGCGGCGGCAGCGGGCGCCGCCGCGCTTGAGGACGGCGCGGGCTTCACGGAGTGCTTCGCGGACGCCGTCCGGGAGGCCCTCGACCGCGTCGAGGCCGACGGGGCTGAGCCGCGGGACGCGGTGGAGGCGGTCGCCGCGATCGTCCAGAGGGCGACCGCCGCTCTCGAAAGCGGCGCGCCCCTCCCCGCCCAGGGGGCGAGCGCTGAGGCCGGGGCCCGGCCGGCAGCAGAGGGCCCGCCCGCGCAGGAGGTGCGGGCCTTTAAGGCCAAACTGGCCCAGGCCAGCGCCACGGCCCGGGCGCCGGGCGCGGGACTCCCTCCATGCCTGGAGGTGGAGTTCGCGGGGAAAGTGGAGAGCCAGCTGGGAATGGCACGGCGCCTGGCCAGCTTCGGCACCATCCAGGTCCGCGTAGAGACGGTCGAGCGCGAGGCCGGCCGGATCTTTCACAGGGCCCAGCCGGGGGAGTGGACGGCGTCCGAAGGCGGGGACGACCGGAAATGGGTGTTGCGCCTGCGCATCCCGTCCAGGGCGACGAAGAGGGTCATCACCAAGGTGAGCGTGCAGGCCGACGCCTCTACAGGCGTCCTGGTGGCGAGTGGCATTCGTGCCAACTTAAGAGTTCGCGGAGCACTGGATCGCCGCCTTCGGCGCCGTGTCCCGGGTCAGCGCGACGCTCACGACGTACAGCACCGGGCGTGGCTCCATGCACGCCTTCCTGGTGCCGCCCGGCTGAGGTGCCCAGGGGCGTAGACGAGGGAGCGCTCCGCGCATTTTGCGCCGCTTGCTCCAGGCACCGCCCGCGGTGCTTGAGGCCGCTGTGGTCTCTCTCTCCCTCTCTCTCTCTCTCTCTTTCCCCTCCCTCTCTGCAGGACTCCTGGATAAGCGACGGTAGGCGCCCCGCCTGGCGCGTGAGAATCATCGCCCGCTTCCCGATCGTGCTGCCGCTGCTGCTGCCCCTGGGGGCCCTCCCGCCCTCCTGCCTCCCTGCCCCCTCCTCCGCCTCCCTGGTCGGTCGTCGTCCTTCCCTGCTTCCCTGCTTCCCCTCCCCGCCGCCTCCGGGGGCCCGGGGGGGTGTCGACCCGGCGGCGGTTGTAATGAAGCCGGAGCGCTCTGGTCCTTGACCGGGAGACGGCGCGCACCCACCTCCTCGCCCCTCGCCCCTTCTGGGGGGGCTGGGGGGGGCCCCCGCGAGGCCTCGGGGCCCACCCAGCTCGGTCGTCGCGCGTCGTGGGGGTCGCTCCGCTGCGGCCGACGGGCAGGATCTCTCGTCGAGCTCTGGTTGGGGTCGGCTCGTTCCCTGCCCGCTGGTCTCGGCCTCGGCGCTGTGGGGGGGGGATCTCGCCGTGGATGTTCCGGTGTACCAGAAAGGTGTAGATGCACTTTTTCCGCCGCCGGTACTTTCTATGTAACGCTTGCGCACTAACACCCCCCTTCCTTGTCAAAGGACTTGTAGGGGACCCTTCTCTGATACTTTGGGGTGCGACTTGTCTGAGGATGGGCTGGCATCCCTCGGTCTCGGCTCTTTCCCTGCCCGCTGGTGTCGGCCTCGGTGCCTTGGGGGGGGGTTCTCGCCGACGCCGCCGTCGTCGTCGTGTCTGGTCGTCGTCGTCGCCGTCGCCGCCGCCGCCGCCGCCGCCGCCGCCGCCGCCGCCGTCGTCGTCGTCGTCGTCGTCTTCGTCGTCGTCGTCGTCGTCGGCGTTGTCGTCGTCGTCGTCGTTTTCGTTGCCCACCGGGGTGGCGGCGTTCGGGGCGGGGCGGTCAAGCCCCGGGGGGCATTCCCACACATTGGCAGTCCATATTGGCAGTCCCACGCCTGCACGATCTTCCTGTTCCCCGAGCGTGGCAGTACGGACTATCCTCCTCCTCCTGTTCCGCCACGTGCGACTGCCCGCCACTTTCCGCTTGTAGGCCGGTAGACGGGCCATTTCAAGATGAGAGTGGCGGCATCAGGGCCCTTTAGGCCGTAGTCGTCGTCCTCCCCCTCCCCGTCCTCCCCAGCGCGGAGGTGCCGAGCACAGGTGCCGAGCCCCCGGGCCGAGCACAGGTGCCGAGCACGGCCCCCCTGTCCCTCCCTTCCCCTCCGCCTCCTCCTCCCCCCCTTCCGTGCTTTGTGTCACGCTAGTTGTTCGACTTCTACATCTCGTCCCGGACTGTTGCTCGCGTCGCCGCCGGGTGTGGGGCACTTGTTTCGTTCTGATTGTCTCTTTCTTCGTCTTTCCTCCCGTGGAGCCGATGGGCCTCTGGGGGCCGTTTGGGCTATGCGGCCTAAGTTATTCCAGGCACACGCTTGCGATGCCTGACCCGAATCGCCGCCGATTTGCTGGTTGGGAGGTCGTCCGAGTCGTGGCTCTTACGTGGCTCTGGCCGGAGCGTGAAGATAATTGCGCGGCGTGGCGACCGTCTGCCACTTTCCTCCTGTCCCTCCCCTCCATGGCCGTTTTTGCCCCGTGCTCGTCGCGTGGCCGCTTTCGCTCGAGTGCTCGCGCATTGGGGGCTGGCAGTCCGGGGGGGCGGCCAAAATGGAGAGCCCGCCGACGGACGCCCTGCGGGCGTGGGGGTCCCGCGCCGCAGCCACAGCGGCTGTTCGCGAAGTCGCCGCCCTGGTGGAGGGCGAGCTGCCAGGCGCTCCTGGACCGGTGCGCCGATGGGGGGCCCTGTGCTTGCGCCGGGATGTCCGCGCGCTGCTGGCCCAGCGGCCTCCCCATGGCCTCAGCGAGGTTCCGCTGGGGCTGGAGGGGTTTCGGGAGTTCGACGCCGGATTGCACACGACACTGAGCCAGCTGGAGGCGCGCATGGGCAGGCTCGCCGAGGGCCTCGCCCTGAACTCCATCTTCGGGGCCTGGGAGGGGGGGCTGCCAGCGACTGAAAGCCCTGAACCGAGTGGGCCTTCAGCGCGATTGCAGGGCCGTGTTGCCGCGCTAAACGTCGCTGGGGCCTTCTGCATGGGGGGCGGTGTCGAGACGGACGAGGGCCGCATGGTGACCATTTGCGCTGGTCTCCAGGCGGCTGGGGTGATCGCGGCGGTGGTGTCGGAGCCTAAGTTGGCGCCAGGCCTGAACTGGCCAGAGTGGACGGGCTACACTTACCATGGCGAGCGGAGCGCTGGGCCGGACACCGTCGGACTCCTGGTTGCCACCCCGGTGGCGGCAAGGCTCCTGCCGGTGCCGGGAGTGGGCGGGCCCCGTGCCATCTGGTGCGAGTTGCCATTGGAAGGCGGCCCTGGCATCTTGCTGTTGGGGATCTACGCTCCGCCCCCTCACTATGGGGTGGCGGTCCGAAAGCTTTTCTGGCAGCGGCGCTGGGAGGAATGGGTTGAGCTGCAGGGCCGCCCGAGGTTCCGGGACTGGAGGCTTGTTATGCTTGGCGATTTCAACCTACACTTTGCGTGCCTGGGCATAGCCAATCGGCGGGCCGAGTCCTTGCTGGACCGCGAGATCCTCGACCTGCTTCTGCGCCCCTCTGGCTTTGGCGCGGTGCTCAGAAATCCAGTCGAGGTGGGGACGCACAGGAGTGGGACCATCATCGACGTAGTGGCCTCTTCCGCCGATTTCCCCGTGAGCGTGGTGGTCGTGCCGTGCGGGTCCGCAGGTGTCCCGGGCGACCATGCGAGGCTTGACGTCGCCCTCCCGGCGACTTTCGCCGTGAACGTTGAGATGACGCTCGGCCGCAGTAGGTGGGGGCACGGGGACGAGTGGGACGCTGCGCTTGGTCACGTGGCGACGGCGCTCAGCTTCATTGGAGGCTGGGCTGGTGCCGTGATGAGGAGCAGGGAGTTCAGGGAGTGGACGGCCCGCGGGGCAAAACGAGGTGTACGACAAGGACTCTTGGACCGCGCTGTGTGGTACCGCTCGGTGGTGTACACCTTGGCAGGCCATTTCGGAGGCCTCGTGCTCGTGGCAAGACGCCCACCCCACGTGCGAGCGGCCTGCCAGGGCAGGCGTGCCGGGGAGGAAAAGGCAGCACTTGCAGAGGAGGCGTTGCAACCTGCAGGGATCGCCGCGCCTGACGCGGACCAACTGGCCTTAGAGGATGAACTCGCCGGCACGCGGGCCGAGCACCGGGCTCGGGCTTTGGACCGATATCTGGAGCTCGCGGCGACCTCCCGCGGCGAGGCGGAGAACTACGTGAGCGGGCTCCTCAAGCCGCGCGAGCCGCTGCAGTTGGCCCTCTGGGACCCAGATTCGGGCAGGCGGCTCGGCCCCGCTGAGGCGATCGAGGTAGTGACTGCGTCCATCCTTGGCCGGGGCGCGGCGGCGGGCCCGGGCGTGGCGTCCTTCAACGCGCAGGTCCGCGCGGAGGTCCGGGCAGCCCAGACTGCAGCGCTCCGCGAGACGGCGGAGGAACTCGGCGACCCCTTGTCGCCGGAGCTGGTGGCGGAGATCGTCCAGCAGGCTCGCGCCTCTCGCAAAACGCTCCACTTGCCGCGCGCCGCGGCAAAGGCAGCGCAGGCGCCGGGCCGCCTGGTGACGTGGGCCGTTCTCAACTTGGCGCTGGTTTCTGGCCTCTGCGCAAGTGAGTGGATGCGGGAGATATCCCCGATTCGCAAGAGGGGGCCCCCGGTGGTAAGCGACCCTGCCGCCCTCCGGCCCATCAGCTACGTTGGGGACCTTGAAGGGTTTCTGGATGCTGGTTGGTTGGCCGTCACCCGCCCGCTGCTGGAGCAGTTCGCCGGCTCTGAGCAGGCAGGGGGGCGCTATGGTGCGACGCTCATGGCGGCTGGGCTGCTCATCGCGCTCCAGGTGCGGCGCGGGCTGGGGCTCCGCACGGTGGTCCAGAAAGCGGACCTGCTGCATGGGTTCGACATGGCCTGGCGCGACGGCGTGCTGCTGCAGCTGCGCCGGGCTGGACTGCGCGGGCGGTGGTGGCTCGCGGCGGCGGCGTCCCTCAGCGAGGAGCGCGTGCGGGTGCGCGTTGGGCCCCTCGTGGGTCAGATCGCCACACTCCTTGACTTCGGGGTGGGGCAAGGCAGGCGCGGGGGCGCCCACATGTTCAGCGCGCTTGTCCGCGCTCTCATTGACGCCTGCAAGGTCGCCGCCCAGCCGCTCCCACTCGCGGAGAGCGCCCCGGCGAGCGCCCCTCCCCCCTCCCTGCCGATGCTGCAGTTCGTCGACGACACGTTCGTGTTGCAGCCAGACGAGACGGGGGTGATGCGGGCCAACGCTGGCTTGGGCGCTTTCTGTGCCGCCTATCGACATCGCTACCAGGACGGCAGCAAGGGCCCCGCTGCAATGGCGGTGGGCCTGCCGGCCGTAGACCCCAGCAGGTGCGGCACCATCGGGGCCGTCGGGGTCCGCGCTGTCAGTCAGCTCGAGGTCCTGGGCATCCCGGTGGACGCGGAGCTCTCCTTGGATCCGCTCCTGACACGCACCTGCGCAATCCTCCGGGACGGCGCGCGACGACTGACGGCCGCTCTCTCGGACCAGGGGTTCGGCCTCCCCATGATCGTTGGTCAGGTCCCGAGCCGCGTCGAGTCCGCCGCGCTGTATGGCACGGAGCTGCTGGCGAGCCATGCGCGTGGCTGGGCCGCGGTCGCGGCCCAGCTAAACCGCGCATACTACGACGCGGCGAAGGCGCTCTTGGGGCTCCCTCCGGGCACGTCCTTTGGCGATGGGGGCTACCTCCGCGTCTTCCTGGAGACGCGACTGTTGACGCGCGTGGCCGCCAAAGTCGCCCAGCGCATCATTCTGGCGTGGGCTCGGCTGCTGGTGCTCCCCGAAGGCTCGCCCGTCGCGC